TTCATTTTCTTTTATCATGCTCATAATATCGCCGGTTCGGGTACGTAAAGTAATAACGGGTTTATTCGCTTATGTGTTCGTGTAGTCTCGTTTATTTAAATCTACGAAATGTAAATTTGAAGGTGCTTATTTGCTTCATTGAAGTAGAATTGGGTTTTCATGTACCATGAAATGGCTTTTACCCATTTGGATTTTTGGTGTTTTTGTGTTACAACGAATAAAATATGAAGGGTCCAGGCACAGTGGTTCCCAGATAGATCATTACTTAGAAATATTAATTTCAAAATGTTTGCATGAAACTGTTGCTTATAATAGCATGTACTATTCCCTGTAAACGTGCATAATAAATAACAAAATCAAGTAAGTCTAGTGTAGCGCTTTTTTTATTAAATTCACAATTTTGCTACTGGTATCAAGCTGACATATTTGATAACATGTTCTGCAGATAAAAGTAAGTAAAAGCAATCGTATAAATGTATCTCCTAAGATACTTAGTTTCAGCGGAGATACACAGTGTAAGTGTAGGGTTTCATTTTTATTTCGATTTTTTTCCAAATGAATTTCTGAAGTAACGTCAATGGCTAGATGAAAATTGATCTAGGAGTTTGACATGGAATTTGATTTTTGATGTCAAAATGCCAACTCCACCCTGTATCACCGAAACCTTAAGCATTTTAGGACATACATTTATACATTTTTTTTTTTTTTTTTTTTTTTAAGAAAGAATATATTTGCTGCTACACTTTTTAGGACCACCCTGTATAATGAAAAAAAAAAGTTTTTAATAAAAAATATATTTTGGAAAATTAATAATATATGGAAGTATTAGTAGTAGTGTTTTTTTCGTTATATCAAATTATAATAAAGAACTCCTTTTATTTAAGTTCTGATAAAAAATACTTTCATATCATTATCTTTTAGAAAACATTACATTTTCTTAAAAAAAACATTTTTTTTTTTTTTTAATTTTGATTAATTTTTATATATTTTTAATATTATAATACCAAAAGAGCGGTGAAAAATATCTTTAAGAGTTTAAAAAAACAAATTAATAATATTTTTGTTGTTACCTCCTATACCTAAAATCAATATTAAAAATACAAAAAAAATATAAAGAAAAATGAACAAATGCACTTAGAAACAGAAAAAAAAAAGAAATTAACTAGAATTATCTTATCTATTGTGAAAATAAAGAAAAATAAATATATTTTTTTTTTTTTGCATTTTAGTTTTAGTACATGTATATCATTTGGTATATTTTCCATTACAGACCTTTCATTTTCGAACTACTTTTACTGATTACACGCTGATTTAAGTGAATTATTGTTCCTGTCAAAAAGTTAATGTGTTCCTTGAAGCTACTTTTTTTTGTACAAAATTAGTGGGATAATGTGGGAAACGGCAAAAATAATGTATGTGCGTGCGCGTGTTGTAGAAGGCACTAAATTATATATTAGTTTCCATTAAGGATGCCTATTAATTAACTGGGTTATTGGCAATCTTTAATATCCTTTCAGATATTTATTTTACATATTTTTTTTTTTTCGTTAAGAGGATTATATACATATTTTCATTACTAAATTTGGCA